CTTTCTTCTATTCCTATATCTAACCATCTATTTTTCCTATAGTTCTTCCTTCTTTTATCATTCAATCATTTTCCCCTTCATTCCTTTTTCATTCACCTCTTTCCTTCAACCTTTACTCCCTTCCAAACTTTCTTCCTATTCTCTTTCCATTCTTTTTTCTTTCAATCTTTACTTCAGTACATCTTCCCTTCCACCTATCCTTCCTTCTATACATCCATCCTCTCTTCCCAAGATTCACACATCCTTCCTTCCATCCTTCTAGCTCTTTTTTCCCCTCTTTCATTCTCCACTGATCCAGACACAGTTCCATCTTCTTATCAGCTCACTCAATACTTACTGAACACTCATGATTGTACTACTAATCTGAATTTTAGGACATGGATCAATAGCTGTTAATATGGCTGTACTCTGAGTGTTTTAAATCTGTGAGAGGGAATCAAAGTCAACTGCCTGTAGACATCGTCTGATGAAGTAGGCACAGGAATAGTTAGAAGCCTCCTCTGATCTTGAGTCTAGAATGGCGTTTGGGAGCAATTTCAATCCTTGTCAAGGAATGGGTTCTCCAAGAGGGCCCTTCCCTTATCTCCTCATCCTCTGCAGGTGGTGTTTCTCTTCGTAAACTTCGGGTCTCTCCCACATCCTCAGCTACTTTGTTTCCTCAATTTTAATTCACTTACCTTTTCTTTCACCTTGTTCTTGCTTTTGACTCCTTGTTATCAATACAGAAACATATTCAAATCAAAGGGAAAATTCCTCTTTTAATCTATGTAATATTTTAGATTTCATCCTAGTCTCCTTCACACTACTCCCTTCAGTAGAATCCCAGAAGACTCTCAAGTTGCTAAAGAACTTCCCACCTCAATACAACCTGACTACTCCTTAGTGTTTGATAGAATTGATCATTCTTAAAATTATCTGTGATGTCTTCGCTTTTTCGATGTTCCCTTTACCTCTCAGGCCATTTCTGCTTAGGCTATTGGTTAATAGGATGGATTTCAGATAATTTGAACTTTTATCCAAGTTCTGTCACTTACCTGTGCAGTTTTGAGACAATGACTCTACTCTCTGTGCTACGGTTTTCTCTGTGGTACAGTTTGATAGGACCTACTTCAAAGAGTGTTATAATGAAGATTAAACAACTTAGAACAGCGCTTGGCACAAAAGAAATGTTGTATAGACAGTGAATGTTATTACTATTGTAAATAGTGATTATTAATAGTAATGTTAGAACAATCACCATGGTAATATAATTTTCAACTACTTTGCTAATTTATTTTTGTTTCCCTAATTCCTAAGCCATGTACCGAGAACTGAGGATAGATTTTTTTTTTACGTTTTCTAAAATATATTTCTGGTATAGGGATAAGTTCCTAGTTAACTCCTTTTTTACTTCTCAGGAAAGGAGCTATTATCTATCCACCACTGAGAATCAGAATGGAAATTTTGAGTCCTTACTTGTTAATGATGTAGAATGGGAAGGAATGTGAGGACCACTTGTCACCCATTCCAAGTCAGCACTTTCTGTTCTCCTGGTATCCACAAGAGGTGATAAAGATGTCTTGATTTCCTGTGTGCTGCTCTCTGTCCCAAGGCTGTTGTATACCATATATGTGGTAGCTGGTGAGGAAGTCATTCCATGGAGGCTAGGGTTGGGTGGAGAATTGGTGGCAGTAAATGTGGAAGAGGTGAATGATGTTGAAGCCAATGAAGGCAAACTATCTGAGACTGTGGAAATAAGATCAACCTCAGGACTTGATTCTGTCTTAGAGAATGAACTGGATGAAAGGGGAGCTGAGTTGGTGCCCAGAATTCCAGTTGCGCCAAAGGAAGTCGTGAACTCTGGCAGAGGAGGGATCGATGTGTCAGCTGGGATAGTCTCAGGTGATGGCAGCATATCTGTGATTGAGTATTGGCTACCTTCTGATACAGATGCAGCCAGGGTGGATTCTGGGGAAGTTACCCCAGAAGACCCTATAACAGAGGGAGAAGCATAAAGATGAGTGGCTGTTTCCACAGGAATTTGAGGGAACGGTGAAAACAGAGATTGATCTGAGGCTGATATTGTCACAGAAGAAGTGACATCTGTCTTGGGATCCTTCAGTAGATGAGTGGATGCAGGAGGGTGTGTGGGTATGGCTGAGCCTCTGTGCAGAGATATACTCGTATCTGTGAGTCCAGGAGTCAGGTGAGAAAGTGGTAATGGTTCAATACTTGTAGTCTCTAAAGAAGCAGACATTACTGGGGAAATAGTGGTGGCCTCCATTGTAAAGGCAGTAGTCACTGGATCTGTGGTTCTGGGTGGCTCAAAATTGGTGGAGACTGAGGACCTTGATTCATGTGCGGAACTTGTGGTCATCAAAGTGGTCATTGTATTTGTAGAAAGGTGAATTGCCTTTGTATCCAGGGTGGTTTCTGGTGTGGAATTCATCACAACTGAAGGGTTGCTCAAAATTGAAGGTGAACTGGTGCCAGGTTTTAAGCTTGTTCGTAACATGGCTGATGTTGTCAGTAAGTCAGGCATGAAAGTTGAGGTCACAGGAAGAGGAGAGGGACTGGACTCTTTGAATGCTAAAGAAATAGGGGAAGATGAAGTTGTGGCAGTGATAGGTGACAGGGAAGAGAGCAAGCTGGTTTCGTCAACAGAGGGAGAGCTTGACACATCCTTAGGCTCTTTGCTCACAGAAGTAGTTCTCTGCAAATGTGGAAAACCCTGAGTCAAAACTGAAGAGGTCCCTGCCCATGGTGTTGTGGCTGATGTGTCCAGAGTAAGGATGCCCGTTTCAGTCTCTAGAGTGAATCCTTCAGTATTTTTCATGAGAGAGGAGGTAGATGGGCTAACACTGTTTTCTGTCAGAATATCAGCAGAACGTATGGTCTGATCAGGGACTGGGGGGGACATTTGGTCTGAGGAGGTGACTTCGGTTCTGGAGGCTGTAGCAGTGCCAGTGGACACATGAGATAGGACAGGTTTTGTCTCTGTGGCTGAGAAAGGTGCCTGTGAAGTCCTGGGTTCTCTCAATCCGGTGGTCAGAGGAGAAGTTAACTCCTTCTCACTTTTTGTGGTTTCAGAGTAGACAGGAATTAATACAGAAACAACGGTGTGCCCTAAGATGGACGTGGTAGTAGGTGGGGCTGTAGCCCCTGAGGAAGAAAATAAGGTCTCTTCCGTAGAGTCTGTGGATAGTTGGCCCAAAGTAGTTGTAGCCAATGATGTGGGGGCAGTAGTAAAAGTCTGTGTGGTGAAGGTCATGGGTGCAGCAGACCCAGTCTCAGTCAGGGAGGGAGCGGCTGTACTTCTGGTGTCTGCTGAAATTCCTGGAGACGATGTCGGCTTGGTAGAACCTAGCATGAGTGTAGTCTCAGTAGATGGAAACTCTGTATTTGAGAGCTCAGTCGTAGAAGCATCTGAGAGAATAGACAATGTTTCCGTAGTAAAGCTGTTTCCTTGGGTTGTGCTGGTCTCTCTCATTCCAGTAATAATGGAGGACAATGGCTTTGTCTCAATCTTGGTGGTCTCTGCAGATGCAGGTGCTGATGAGGAAACAGTTAAGTCTATCCTGCTAGAGGTGGCACCCACCGGAGATGTGATGCTGTATGGTTCTGAATGAGCTGGCACAGTGGAAAATGGTCCTTGTTCAGAGTTGCTGGGGCTCATAACGCCTATTGTCTCTGTGGAAGGGTGAATTGCCTCTGTGTAGATGGTGGATTCAGGGATGGTCATTGTATCATCTGCAGGGCTGCTCACTTCTGGAGTTGGTGTGCCATCAGGACCCAAGGCTGTGTCCACATTAGGTGTAGTTTTCACTGGGCCAGCGGTGACAGCTGAGGTCCCAAGGAGAGGAGAGAAGGAACGGTTCCCTTCTAACCCAGGAGACACAGAGGAATGTGGGACTTTGGTGGCAGTTGTAGGTCCTATGGTAGAGAGAGTGCTGGTTTCTTCCACCGAGAAAGAGCTGGACACATCCTTAGGACCTCTACCCATAAGAGTAGTCATCTCTGAATGTGGAAATCCCTGAGTCGAAACGGAGGGAGTCCTTACCCCTGGGGCTGTGGTCGATGTGTTCAGAGTAAAGACACCTATTTCAGCCATGAGAGTGATCCCTTCAGAATCTTTCAAGAGAGGGGGGGTGGATGGGCTGATGCTGTTTTCTGTCGGTACAGCACTAGAACTTGTGGTCTTAGCAGGGACTGGGTGGGATATTCTGTCTGAAGATGTGACTTCGGTTCTGGAGGCTCCAGCTGTAGCAGTGCCAATGGACACATGAGATAGGACAGGTTTTGTCTCTGTGGCAGAGTAGGGCACCTGTGGAGTGCTGGACTCTCTCAATCCCATGGTCTGAGAGGAAACTAACTCACTCTCACTAGGAGTTAATACAGAACCAGGGATGTCCCTTATGATGGAAGTGGTAACCAGTGGGGATGTGGCCCTAGATGGCCTTGAGGAGGAAAACTGTGTCTCTTCCATTGATACTGTGGATAGAGAACCCAAGGTATGTGCATCTAGTGGTGTAGCCTCAGATGAAATAGGCTCTGTGGTGACATTCACATTGGCAGCCATCTCAGTCTTTGTGAGTGAGATAGAGGCTGTACTGCTGGTTGCTGAAGAGGTTTCTGGGGACCATGTGAACTGAGTAGAACCTGGGATAGGCGTTCTATCAGAGGATGGCATTTTTGTCTTGGAGAGCTCAGTAATAGGAGCATCTGTTGACAGAGGAGATAGAATAGCGTATGTTTCAGTGGCTGAGCTGGATCCTGGGTAAGTGCTGTCCTCTGCCATTCCAGTAGTAAGGGAGTAAGCTGGCTTTGTCTCAATCCTTGTGGTCTCAGAAGATGCGGGTACTTCTGTGGAAACAGTGAAGTGCGCCATGCTGGAGGTGGCAACCCCTGGAGAGGTGATGCTGTATGGCTCTGAGTGAGCTGGGACAAAGGAAAGTGATGAATGTTCTGAACTGCTGGTACTCATAATGCCTGCAGTTTCTGTGGAAGGGTGAGTTGCCTCTGTGCGAATGGTGGATCCAGAGACAGTCATTGTATCATCTGAGGTGCTGGTCATTTCTGAAGGTACCCGGCTGCTAGGTTCCAAGCTTGTCTGCAAACTGGCTGTGGTCTTTTCTGGGACAGAGGTCACAACTGAAGTCTCAAGGAGAGGAGAGGAAGAAGTACCCCCTTGTAACATGGGGGACCCAGAATGAAATAAGATGTTGGTAGTAGTGGGTGTCATGGAAGAGAGAGAGCTGGTTTCTTCCACAGGAAAAGAGCTAGGCACATCCTTAGGACCTCTGCTGATAAGAGTTGTTATTTCTGAATGTGGAAAACCCTGAGTCAAATCTGAGGGCGACCCTGAGGCCGAGACTGATGTGTCCGGAGTAAATGTATCTGTTTCAGTTGTGAGAGTAATTCCTTCATATTCTTTCATGAAAGGTGAGGTGGATGGACTGATACTGTTTTCTGTCAGTACATTGGTAGAACTTTTGGTCTGATCAGGGACTGGGTGGGATATTCTGTTGGAAGATGTGACTTCAGTTCTGGAGACCTCAGTTGTAGCAGTTCCTCTGGACGACACATGAGATAGGACAGGTATTGTCTCTGTGGCAGAGTAAGGTATAGGAAGAGTGCTGGACTCTCTTAATCCAGGGGCCAGGGAGGAAGTAAGCTCACTCTCAATATCTGTGGTCTCGGAATAGACAGGAGTTATTATAGACACAGTCGTGTGCCCTGTGATGGAGGTGGTAACCATTGGCGATGTGGCCCCAATTGGCGTTGAGGAGGAAAATTGTGTCTCTTCCATAGATAGTGTGTCCAAGGTAGTTGCCTCTAGTGATGCGGGCTCAGAAGAGATAGTCTTTGTGGAGTAAGTCCCATGTGAAGGTGGTTCTGTTTCATAAAGGGACATAGAAGAACTACTGCTGGTTTGTGGAGAGATTTCTGGAGACCATGTGGACAGAGTGGAACCTGGGATGGGTGTTCTGTAAGAAGACGGAATATCTGTGTTGGAGAACTCAGGAGTAGAAGCGTCTGTTGACACATGAGAGTCACTAGATGTCTCAGCGGCTGCACTGAATCCCTGGGGGGTGCTGATCTCACTCATTCCAGTAATAACGGATGATGATGGCTTTGTCTCAATCCTTGTGGTCTCAGAAGATGCGGGTACTTCTGTGGAAACAGTGAAGTCCACCACGCTAGAGGTGGCACCCCCAGGAGATGTGGTGCTGCATGGTTCAGCGTGGGCTGGAACAAAGGAAAGTGCTACCTGTTCAGAACGGGTGGCACTCACAAAGGTTTCTGTGGAAGGGTGAATTGTGTCTGTGACAATGGTGGCTTCATAGGTGGTCAGGGTATCATCTGAGGTGCTGCTCATTTGTGAAGCTGGCCTACTGTCAGGTCTCCAGCTTGTCTCCAAACTGCCTGTGGTCTTCTCTGCACCAGAGGTGACAACTGATATGCCAGGAACTGAGGTTCCTGGTAACGTGGAGGACCTAGAGGAGCGTGAGGTTTGGGCAGTAGTAGGGCCCATGGAAGAGAGAGAGCTGGCTTCTTCCACAGAGGGAGTGCTTGACCCATCCTTAGGACCTCTGCTCATAAGAGTCGTCATTTCTGAATGTGGAAAACCCTGAGTCAAGAGGGAGGGCGTCCTTCCCCATGAGGCTGTGGTTGAGGTGTCCAGAGTAAGGATATCTGTTTCAGTGGTGAGAGGAACTCCTTTAGAGTCTTTCTTGTTTGGAGAGGTGGATGGACTGATGCTGGTTTTTCTCAGTACATCAGTAGAACCTATGGTCTGATCAAGGGCTGTGATGGATATTCCACCTGACGACGTGACTTCAGCTCTAGAGACCTCAGCTGTGGCAG